TCTAAAAGACACGTTGATGGTTTGGAGGAAGTAATTATTGAAGTTAACTCAGAAAGATCAATTGGAGAAAAAGAGTCTAACTTAACATCAATGGTACTAAGAGTAGCTGTAGATAATATTACATCTGTGGGATGATTATTGGTAATTTTTTCTCTAATGATAAAAATGCTAGGCTTTGAATCACTGAATTAGATATTTTGGAGCATTTTACCATTCTACTACATTCCCAGGTTGTCTTCTCTTGTTTTCATTGTGTGTTCTCCCATCAGCTCACATTATCAGCTAGGGCTGTGCGATATGATCAAAATCTCATATCCCGATATAAGACATTTATCGTCCCGACAACAATATATATCACAAAAATTTTACATTTTCTGTACATTCTGTGAATCTCAGGCAACTCGACTCATCTTCACTGGCCATGCTGGTATTCTCTGTGCCTGCATCCACGTGGTGACTGTAAGCGCCATTTATAGTTACTTCATGTTTTTATTTGAGGTCATTTGTTTGATGCATATTCTGAAATTTGATGTATTGTATTTTGTTATCATTTCAGTTTATGTTGAAAAACCTTAACAGGATCTTTAGCTTTATTGTAAAAGGTTTATGTGGAAAATAAACAAGCGGACGTGGAGCCGCACGCTGGGTTTACCGTCGTTGTTGCTAACGACAACGCATAAAAGAAAGAGAGAACTTTAAGAAATTAATATAGCCACTACAGTGACCATCAAAACGATGAAAAAATATTGCCATTAAAAGTTTATTTTGCAACACCACGAAACAAATGTGCGTAATATGAAATGATAGATGCTTTCACATCATCTGATATATATATTGTTATATCGAACAGCTCTATTACCAACAGTTTTAAAATCATGTATCACTTCTATGCTGATGACACTACGTCTCTTTTAAATCTCACGAATTGGATAAGTAAGTTGTTTTAAAATTTCAAATCAATGTCATTTTTACTTATATAGCACCAAATCACAACAGCAGTCGCCTCAAGTCACTTTACATTGTAATGCCATTTTAAAATCTTGGTTCGTTCTTTTATGCCCTCACGGGATGAGGCCCCCAACCTGCACTATGGAAATAATCCATTCATGTGGTCAGGTTCTCAGACAGGGGCTTTTTTGTGATTCCACTGAAAGCTAAAGATGATTGGGTCTTCCAAACCTCAAAACTTCCAAAACTATGGACATCTTACCACTATCTTTTCACAACCTTGACTCCATGGTTGTCCTGTTCTTTGACCTCATCCTTGTCTGAACAGATTCATTTTAAACCCCCAGTTTAAAACGAATCTGTTCAGACAAGCAATTGCGGTAGTGTCTGTGTTTTGTGTTTTCCTGGGCATTGGCTGTTTTTGTTTATTTACCTTTGTAAAAGCAGGTTGTGACTCTTCTTTGTCTCGAAAAGCACTTTGAAGACATTATTGGTTTTGGATTAACATGACTGGGCATTTTGACTTAGAGCAACTGGATGTAGTTGTCATATTTCCCTCTCAGTGGCTTCAGTATCCTTTAGTTAGGGCTGATGATTGTTTGCAGACAAACCGCATTTACTCTGTTTTTGATCATTTTCCCTTTAAGGTGAGTAGTGACAGGAAATGAGATTTGGGATCTCTCCTAAGAGATAGAAAAATGGAGGAGAAAAGTAGAGATGAAGACAGACACTGAATGGGGGGAGGAGAGGGATGAAGGAAATAAAAATAATTCTGCTTTTTTCCCAGACAACACTGCTGGAATCTAATAGGGTTTGCCCTTTAAAGGGGAAAAAAAGGAGGGAGAGAACGAATTAAAAAGATGAGATTTTCATTTCATTGTGTTATTATTTTTTTTTAAGCTTTAATCGCCACACACTGGTTATTATTTCAGAGTCTGGGTGCCTGAGGCGACGCGTCTTAATCTCATCTGGAGGTGAGAGTTTGTAATCCCAGTCGCAAGCAAAGGCAGGCGGGTGGGGGGGGGATGATTTCTTTTATTGCGTTACACACCCTGCATCTGGTGGGACAGTTTATTGTGTTACACGCAGCGGTATATTTTGTCCCCAGAGTTCTGGAGGCGAATGGCAGCATCTGTCGGACCAGAAGCTGCCACCCATCTGATGGAATTATCTCTGCCAAAGCGAACACGTGCTGTCGATGCAGAGTTTTTCTAAAACGCCTCAATGAAATTTCAACAAGGGCCAAAATTTGTTTTTCATTCAGGCTTCATCACAGAGCAGAGTTTATTGAACTGAACCTCCAGCCATCAGAAAGAGGAACTGTCTGGGAAATCGGGGCATGCTCTCATTTTAGCGGCTTTAAGTGATGATAGTGAGTGATGTGCTGCTGCCTGATAAAACACTGTGATACTGTAAAGTGGTATTTTGTTCTGGTCTGTTGTCAGTGTTATAAAACCCTCAATAAAAATGGCTTCCCATCATCACAGCAACAAACAGAGCAACAAGCTCTCATCAGAAGAGGTTTGGACATGTCAGAACTGTGCTTTTTATAGATGGCTGTTTAAAGTGTAAAGTAGACAAATGTGGGGAATCAAAACCACAAATGTATTAATAAATAAGTAATAAAAGAGGTCTTTCTTTACCTGTTTGGTTGATAGGTTGCCTGCCTAATTGATTGGCTGTTTAGCTACATGCCTGCCTACTTGTTTGGGTGGTTGCTTATGCACCTGGCTAGCTGGTTGACTGGTTACCCACCTTGTTGTTTCATTGCATGCCTGTTTGATTGCCTGCTTGCCTGGTTCCTGGTTTGGTTGCCTTCCTATTTGTTTTATTGAATTCAAGAATTATTGGCTTCGTTTAGTTATCCACCTGGTTGGTTGGTTGCCTGGCTGGTTGTCCTCCTGGGTGGTTAGTTGATTGCCTACCTGTTTCTATTTTGGTTGGTTACCAGATGTATTGGTTGATTCGGATGCCTGTCTAATTGATTTGAGTGGTTTGTTTTTCTTAGATATTAATTCATAAAACATGACAAAGATTGAATAATTTTATTTTCTTGTGAATTTACATTTAAGTTTTCTTGTGTTTAGTTACTTTACACTTTCCCCTAATTTATTTTTGTTTTAAATGTTTAACCATTTGGTGGAAAGTTAATCCCATAGCACAGTTTGAATTAGACCACCTCATTTGTCTTCTGAGTAATACTGAGTACTTGTGGTAAATGTTAAAGAGTAAATATTTTAACAGGCTGATTGCTGCATGTTGACACCATCAACACACAGTTTGACTCAGTGGAGTTTTAAATGAACTTTGCATAAGTTTTTCATTTAACAGTTACTAGTAGAAAGAGACGACCATTGATGTTTTCCATCTACAGCATGTTTTTTATTCACTTTATTTTATTCTTCATTTGTTTTTAATTAGTTTGTTTTATCCCATATTGTTCCTCTGTAGAACATTCATGGTCACAAAGGTCCAATCACAGCGGTATCATTCGCCCCTGATGGCCGTTATCTGGCAACCTACTCCAGCGCTGACAGCCATATCTCCTTCTGGCAGGTAAGACTCACCCATACAGACACATACAAACTGTCTTAATGCAAGTCCTCCTTCTGAAGTTGTTAACTGTTTTGTGGTAAGACTGCATAGAGTCAGATTTACAAAGGTGAGTTTGTTTCTGATGTAATAAACATGGACTTGGGTTTGTGGTTTGATATGAACTTCCAGTATATTTAAAGCAGATTTAAAGCTTTATATGAAGGGCAACCTTTTTTGCACATTTCCAGCCTTGTCTTTTTATTCAAGCAAAAAAATGTTACACAAAACTAAAGAAATAGATTAGATAAAATAGATAAAAATAAAGGATGTAGTTTATGCAGTGCAAGAAATTAGACTGCCCCTTTTTTAAAAGCAAAAAAATGCAAAAAGTTTATTCTATGAGACAAGAGAATGACTTATTTCTAGATTAATATTTATATTATAAATCTGTATCGGGGGAAAAACAATAACTAAGGATTTCTTTAGTATATATACAGTGGAATAAATGCTGAGCCTTCCTTTAGACTCCTCCCTGCAGGTATTTTAAAGTTTACATGAAATCTGCCAAATGTAAAGAGCTATCAGTTTATCAGCATGCAAACAGCTTCAGATTTCACTTCTTTTTTCAGTTGTGCTTTCACTGTTAAAGACAAACCAGCGGAGGATTTGAACAAATTAAAAAAAAAAAAAATACTGTCCAGTTGGCTGCTTTCAGTCATGACTGTTCTGTGCAGTGGGTTAAAAACATAAAAAACTGAATTTAGATATTTTCATTTACATGTTTGCTTTTAATTCCACTGTATCTACACAAACTAAAAAAATAACTTGAAAATAAAAGTCTTAACACGTAAAGCATCTAAATAAACTATAACAAACTCAGATAACCGATCAGGCTCTTCTTATCTTCTTCCAGGAACTGTTATTTTGAATGAAAGGTCTTTACGACCTCTGACACAGATGTACACACACACACACACACACACACACACACGTTAATGGCATTACTGTAAGCATAAACCACTGTAAGCGCGCCGGCAAGACGGCTGCTGTGGTAATGAGCTGGCAGACGCTCTGTCGGGGTGTGTGTGTGTCTATGTGTGTATGTGTGTGAGGCAGTGTAGTCTTGGTTTCCACTCACTGTGTATTTCCTACATAGACACACTCTGGGGTTAAACACCAGGTTTTCCCTCTGAGACGTCTTCACAGGGTTCAGCAGAAACTGATGATCATCAGATGTTCAATAACTAATTTTTCTTTGCAGTTTTTGTCAAAATGAGGGAGGAGGTATCAGCTCTCAGTAGAAAGAGAAGGCAGTGTTTCCCACACAGACTTCACATGAGCGCATGAGTGTGATCTTCAGGTTTATTAATGGCTATCTGAAAATGACACCATTCCCTTGCTTTTATTTTGAAAATTCAGGCAATACTGACCAGCTAGCCCAGCTCTTCCTGCCTTGTGTTTTATCAGTTACCTGCTGCTCCATTAAAAATCTATCTTTGAATTGTATTTAACCAGAAAGTGATGCTTGAATAATACGCAGAAAACCAAGACTATGACACAAAAGGCTCAAGAAATAGTTATAAAGGGGGGTTTTCATTTTCCAGAAATGAAACTTTGAGATCAAAAATCTCTTTTAAAAGAGTACCCATGGATGAAGGTGGACCAATCCAGTCTACTGTGGATGGCTTTGCAAACTGCAAAAGTTGCAGAAAAGTCATTAATGATTCCATCTCACCAATAGCTGCATTTGCACTTACGTTAAAAACAAAGATAACTTACTACACACTGGTTTTACTGATTTGGCCCATCTGAGATCAACTTGGGGTGGTATGTATGTTCCCCAGGAACTAAAATTAATTTAACATACCTGACCTGCTCCAATAATGAAAAAAACATCCATACAGTCAAACTTCAAACCTCCCAGGCTGGCTGAGCAATAAACTGGTTAAAATCCTCCAGGTTGCTAGTGACCTGTTTAGTGTTTGGGAAGTGCAAGTATCATAGTGATTCTCCCTGTTTTAGTCCACCAACTTTACTTTATCCATGAATATGTGCTGGCATCGGCAGTCAAGGACAATGAACAAGCTGGCTCTCAAACTGTACAACAAGAAACCCCAACCTCAAGATCAAGATGAGGAACAAAAGATCTACTGCAGGCCAGAAAAAGTCATTCAGTTTTAGGCCAATAGAGTAGCTGGTTACAGTTATGTTTATTAATACCCCTTCATATGAAATATTCAACCGTTTGTCCTAAAAGAAGAACTAATGGTGTGTCGGCACTAAATGCAAAAAGTTCACAAAGTTTATCTAATGAGGCGACTTGATACAATTTCAGTGCCACAAATAAATAAGGCATAGAGGCACCTTTGTATATACCAAAAGAAACTCCTTTGTTGTATCCAAGAAACTTGAATTGAAAGCATCTTCTAGCTTCTAGTTTATAAAGCTCTGCTTGTTTAGCACATTGCTAAAAATGAAACTTAACCCTAAATTGGTCACCTATGAACACTTGGCAAGAGTTTTGAGGTTTTGATTGATAGATGAGGTGAATATGTGGCTTCATGTGTTGTTGGTCCTCCTCAGATGAACACCAGTCTGCTGGGCAGCATCGGAATGCTGAACTCTGCTCCTCAGCTTCGCTGCATCAAGACGTACCAGGTTCCTCCGGTCCAGCCGGCCTCCCCAGGCTCCCAGAACCACCTGAAGCTTGCCCGTCTCATCTGGACCTCCAACCGCAATGTCATTCTGATGGCCCATGATGGCAAGGAGCATCGCTTCATGGTCTAAATCCAAGCTGTATTTACTACTGACAGACCTGGGCCTGGTAGGAGGTTTTTACTTTGAAGCAGACTCTAGAAAGCTACACTCTGGATTTATTTGGTGGTAATTTTGGTATTTGCAGTTCAGATGATATTTTAGAGGCCAAGTCTTAGAGTTAAGAGATTTGAAGTATGATCAAAACTAATAGTTAAGGTCAAAATCTGAAGGAATGATAAAAGCCCAGCTCAGGCCCAGGTTTGGACCAGATTCGTGTTCTCATTTTATCTCCTGCAGTAATCATTGTAAGGAAAGTGACTCTGTGATATCTTTCATAGGCCGTGATAGAAGCCTTGTTTACATGATTTGCATTGATGTATTTTTAATCATTTACTTTGCCATTCCTATTTATTTGCCGTTGATGCTGGATGTCACAGACCCTCCAAACCTTTGCTGTTAATTTAAGTCTCCTTTTTCATTTTATTTCAGTTCCAGTAATTGGATCACTTGATTATTAAATGTTTTCTATGTACGGGAGGTATTTACTTTGGTGATTAAACTTTGATTAAAATGTGTATTTTGGGGGGTAGAAAATGGTGAAAGGAATTAGTTTGACCTCTGGCCTTAGGTACACTCCGACCTCTGTAAGACCAGTGCATGCATTTCACCTTTCAAGCTGCACAAATGTGCGTGTGCGCATGTGTGAGTATTTTGTGACACCTTGGAAGCTTTTGAAACCTCTCTGGCTTCACACAGAAGTGTTTGTGTGTCTGTGTGTGTGTCTGCACCCAAGTGTATTTTCACTGTTAAACACACATTCTCGCTTTGGAGGTTGGAGGTGTAGCTGCTCTTACTGCAGATATGTAAAAGGAGACAAATTAATGCTATTTTGGTCCCCTTTAAATTTAAATTAAGTTAGATACATCATCAATGGTTACCAGTAATGGGTTTTTGTAGTATTTTTTTTTATGGCAAAGCTCAGTTTAGTTCCCAATGCTTGGTCATTTTTAAGAAAAAAAAAATCATATTTCTTGTGTTTGTTAATTTCACTTGTCGCATGAACGTTTACCCCTCGTTTTGTATGTCAACTGGTTCTTAGCTGGCTGATCCTCAGCCTTCAGCACCTTCATAAAGCAAAATATTCACTTTTTGGTCTAAAATATCTAATGAAATTCTTCTATTTCCACCTCTTCATATTATGGTTGATCATTCCATTCTCTTCCACAAAGTTTCAGAGGACATTTATGAATATTTAAGAAAGGGAAAAGCTCTCCTGGAAGTTTATAATTTAAAGTAAACAATTTGAGGTTTTTTTTGTTTTGTTTTTCTTTAACCAGATTCTGTGCTTCTACGCAAATGATGTTGCTTTAATTCTGACTGTTATACCTTTATTCTTCTGACAATTTTTAGTAATCCACCTCCCATCTGACTATTTGAAAGTTTATCCTGTTGTTGTATCACCAAAGTAGACAAATTAATATTTTGGTCCACTTGAAATAATCAAACTACAAAGTTAAATAGATAAGTAGGTACATCATCGCAAAGCTCAGTTTACTAACCATTTTATGTGTTGATAAGATGAAATTGGCCATTTTTCATCTTTTGCATGGCTTCCTTTTGTTAATCTATGCCTTATAATTAAATAACTGAGCCTTTTTGATGTGGAAATTTGGCTTTTTGTCTTGGAAAGAAAACAAGTGGCTAGGCAAAATGTAGACATTTTGATTTAAACTCCCAGATGAACCACAACCATTTTTTATTCGTCCAGTGGAATCATTCCTATCACTTCCACAAAGTTTCTCTGGACTTTGTTCCTCTTTTCAAAGGCTAAAAATTCTGGAGGTTAATACATTTAAAACAAAAGTTTTAAAAAGCTCATATTTTTCCACTGGATTCTTTCTTTGCAGAGGACAACACTGTATATTTGGCAGTTGCGCGTGAAATCGTCATCGTCCTCTTCTTGCAATTCACATCTGACATTTGAAATATATCTATGACTATAAATGTGTCCATATTCAGCCAACATATCCTCAGAGCCATTGTGCATATGTGTGTATGTAGGCTGTTCATGTTGTATAGTGATCTGAGCATCTGTCCTGTTTTGTATGTATTGTGGCTAATGTGGCAAATTTCCACTTTTCCAGTTCACAATTTCCAGTCCATTTTCAAGCCTCTGCCAGCAGTTTTTTTTTTGTTTTGTTTTTTTAAACCACGAATCACTTCTTTTAGAAAATGTGCTTTACCTATTGGTTAACAAGAAGGACCAAATTTATTTAGGATAAGTTAAAAGAGCCAAAATGGAAAAGTTTTCTTATGACACTAAAAATACATGATGCAGAGATACATTTATATTTAAAATGCTGCTATCATTCTAGATTTACCTTGTTTGCCCCAAGCCAAGTACAACCATCACCTCTTAGGAGGAAGATGATGAAATTTAACAATAGCAAACTAGCAGAAGTTGCACATTCTGCAGGGGGATAAACAAACTCCACGGTGTTGGTACATGATTACATCAATGTTAGGGGTGCTTAGAGATGCAGCAAAGGACATTTCCAACGGCAAAATTTTACCATCAGGTTCTTGAGCTCTGTTCTTTGTGGTTGATGACACATTTTTGCACATTATTACTTAAAAAAAATGTAACTGTTTTAGTACTCAGTTTTATTCAGAAAGTGGATTCTATATATATAAATATATATGTTAAATATATATATTTATAGTGTTTTCTGTCAGTTGTACTGGGCTTAGATTTTTGTGACTCTTGCAAAATGCTCAAACTTGCTTTACTTCTATTTTCTCCACTCGTCATTCTCCTCTCTCCAGCTCCTGTCAGTTTCATTAGTGCAGTCAGAAAGCTTCTAACACCGATACACACCTGTAAACCCGGGCGTGTCAAAGCTTTTCACAAGTTCCTCCAGCATTTCGTCAGACGGCTTCTTTTTGAAAACACGCACACACAAACAGTCCACCAGGTCCTGACAGCTTTGAGATCTTAATCTTTCGTTTTCTCCAGCACACTTAACAGTTTGAAAAAATATGTTTTTGGCAGCCTCTCGAGGGAGGAAGGGTGAGGAAAAATGAAGGAGGCAGAGAGGAAGAGCTGAGGAGTAAATAACAAGTGAAGAAGATCAGGTCATCCAGCCAGAAAAAGAGGTTCTGCTGTGAAGGTAGTGAACCAAAATGGTTAGAACCTACTGGGGATTTTTCTTTTTTAAACACACGAGGTACATTTGCTGGAAATATCCAAACTGGAGATGGTAAAACTCATCTTTACCCAGATGTTTACAACAAAGTGAAGCAGTCTTGTTACTTTAATATAGAAATTCTCCCATATTCTGCTTATATTTTCTTCTTCTTGTACAGCCGAACACCTGCTTTCTTACTTGCAGTCTACACTAAACGAAATCGGTGTTTCTTACTCATTTTAGTTTGATTGTATTTATTGTTTACAGAGTGTGTGATGTATTGCATGTATGAGCTTAACGTGATGTAACAGAACAGGTTGATTCTACTGTGCATCCTATAAATCTGCTGTGTAAAACTGTGTTGTCATCATGTCCAATAAAGATGAAAATGTGACTGTGGTGGTCAAATGATGCATCTGTTTTATTCTCTACACTCTGATCTTTCTTTCCAAATGATCACAGCAACTTTTATTAACCAAAAACTCCTGACATGTTATTAGGGAAAGCCTTAATGATGGAGTCATCCTTAGTCTTTCACATATACTTATCAGGGTCGGGGACTGGAGCCTACAGGTTTGCTTGCATTTCTGTTCATATTACCACACACCTCTGATTAAAACACCTTTAAAAATTACTATATTTTATATTTCTCTCTATCTGCTCCGTTGAAAAACTTGATTATTAAATTATTTCTAATTTTACTGCTGGGTTATTCCATATGAAGTGAAACCTGAACAAAAATTTCCACCAGAACCCGTCAGAATCACCAGATATACAGTACTGTACAAAAGTCTTGAAGTAGGCCTTGTTTCTGTATATTTTGCTTTCAAGAATTAATTTTTAAAGTGGTCTTCAGCAATAATTCTCTTTCTGAATGTCTGGAGGCATTGCTATCATCTTCACTCATTTTCAGTTGAGTACTTGTATTTGACCATTTTCAGAGAAATGTCTGTTTTTAGGTGTTTGTCCAGCCACGTATCACTGACCTATGAATCATATTCAAGTATAAAAAGTTGTTCAACCGGAGGGATAAACCAATGTTGTATCTAACAGACAACTTGGCAAATAATCAATTTCCAATTGTACCTTTAGACACTTTGTTACTAGCAACCTGTCAGTAAAACACCTAATTTGTGCAAATGGTAACAGCTTGAGAAGCATAAAATTGTATTTTTGCACCATTAAGGTGATTCTCAAAAAGCTATTAGCCAAAAACCTGACGTATCTGGACAAGTGAAGGATGAGAGGAATGGCAAAAAAACCCCTAAAAATCTACCTGCAGCAATTGTCTGTGTCATTGTTTGGAGCAACACTTTAGCCAGTGTTGTTAGGGATTTTATCAAAACCTCATGGAATTACAAATGTGGAAAAGTACTCTCAGATTTTTATGAACCGTGATGGCTAAGCATCTGATTGGCAACATCTTCATGTATCACCTTCATTTATCATTTTTCATACACACTGTTAATGCAGTAAAAGGATAGACCCCCCCCCCACAATGTTATCATGGATTGGTCTCCCCAGAGCCAAGATCTCACCACTATTGAAGAAGAATGGGATCATGTTGATCATTATCTACTAAAGGAATTATTAACTTTTGTGCACAAACTCCTCTAACTCCTAACTCCTCTGCATCACCCATGTTGCCCAAGGTGGTCAGTAAGAGTATTTATCTATTAAAATAATAAGTCACAGACTCTTAATCCTTTGTTTTCTTTGGCATACTTAACAGTTTGAGAAAATGTGTATTTGGCAGCCTCTCAAGGGAACAGAGCTAATGCTAGCTGTAACAAACACACAGATGGCAACTGATCTCAGATCTGTGACAGTAGAGTCAGGAGCAGCTTGTCTGGCATATTTTCCTTCCTTCAGTTTCCCATCAAAGACCAGAGGTCACAATACACAACCAGAGGAAGCTGCTGCCCTCTCAGCTTATACAGCTCCACCATTAGCTTATGGGACATAGACACAAGCAGAGTTAAGCCTGCTTCAAGAGACAATAACTAGTTGTAGCCACAAGATGGCAGCAATTTACAGGATGGATGCAAAAAACACAGATATTAAAAGTGAAAATGTATAGCTGTAAGATGTAGAATATTCGCTTTACAGTAATCGACACATATGGTCAGCTAGCTTTAACTTACTTAGGCTACATATCTGCCACTTGTGGGGTTTTCTAAGGTTAAGCAGAGTCCCTTTAACTTAATGTAATATATATGAATTAACATTCATCTTTGCATTAAAGATACTGAAATATTTATGCATCTTGTCTCTTTCTGTCATTAAACAAATTTATTTAATGAGGAGGTGAACACACATACACACACCATGATGAGCTCAGGGAAGACCTGCCTAACAAGTTTCTGATCACAGAGAAGCAGATCGATCTCCCTCTGATCGCTGACAGTTTGTTTCCATCTTTTGGACTTCCAAACTCTTTTTTCCCATCTCATCTACACTAAAAACATGAAGTCTGTTCGCAATTTAAATGTGAAAAATGATTAAAGTTGAAGTTCTGCTTGTAAAAGTTAAGCGTGTGCTCAATAATTCACTTTTAACTATTAAAAATGAACAGGGGGAGACATTAAAAACTGAAATCAAATGAGCTTTCTCTCTTTTACCTTTGTTCCATTGTTGCTTTTGCAGAAAATGCGAATTAAATCTTAAAACTTTCTTTAAGGGATTTAGGCAAAATGTCCAATAACCACTTGCAAGGTAAATGGTTATATGCTTTTGAGGAATTGGTTGTTTTGTTTTGTTTATTTGTCTGAAATAATTCAACCTGGAAAATAATTATAAAGGAGGATCACTGATTTGATGTTTTTATTTTATAAAGTTAGGAACTTGTAGTTCTTCACATGGGTCAATAACACCACATAGAGAGCTAGAACCACTATAAAACATTTAGAAATGCTACACAGAGATATACAACCACCACAAAGGCACCCAGAAGTACCACAGAGACTTGAGACCCCAAAAAGAGATTCAGAAACACCACTTAGAATGATTATTTAGGCATTTAGAACCACCACCAAGTCTCAAGGTTAGGTTATATGCAATAGTGCATAACTAGAGACTCACGGACTAAGATATTAAAGTATTCTGTATAAAAGATGGACATCCTGCCTGTGTGTTTCTCCCTCTGGTCATTTCTCAGGCTATAGATCAAACCTCCAGGTGGCTTTGACCTTTGACCTTGAGTCCTTCATCAGAAACCCGACCATTTATCACAGAGCGTCTTTCTTTGCTCCTCCTTCCCTGGTTTCTCACTCCAACTGTCTGATCAGTTTCTTACTAGTATACTCAAAGTATTGATGGTATTGATCAGGAGTGTGTCTATTTAGGGGATGAAAACCAGCTCAGGAAGAAGAGATTCCTCATCAACCATACAGACTTGAAACCTAAAATAAATAAATGAAGCAGACCACCTGTTAGCCCGTGTTTGGATAAAATTTCGCATCCGTGTTTCCACAGCAGGATCAGAAAGATTCCTGATTGGACTTCAAAGTTAGTCCACTTCTCTTAAAAGCTCACGATTATTGTCAGCCCCAAGCTACTAGCTACTTGTTTCTCAAGTTGGTTTAGGTCTGGGCTTTGACTTAGCCACTCCCAAACCTTCATTTTGTTTTATTTTTTTGAGGTGGACCTGCTGGTGTGTTTTGGATCATCGTCCTGCTTCATAACCCAAGTGAGATCCAGCTTCAGGGCATGGACTTCAGGATTTTCTGGCAGAGAGCAGAATTCATGTTTCCAGGTCTTGAAGCAGCAAAGTAGCCCCAGAACATCACACTACCAGGACCATGTTTGACTGTCGATGTGTGTTCTTTTAATTACATTTTAAGTTTAAATTCAATTAGTTTTATTTTATTGGACCAATACTTGGGGAAAAGTCCTACTGTCCACTTACTTACCAAGAGCAGCAGGAGGTTCAGTTTCTTTGGTCTCCTCGATTTTTTCATTGATCTGCTGGGGCGAGGCAGCCGACCAATACTCTTCATCTTCATACCCTCTAATACTCCCTCTCCTCTGCCTCTTTTCCTTTTCCTTTGTTCCACCCCTCTGAAGAAAACTTATCCTCTTACTAAATATAATCACGGAGTCAAAAACAAATCTGAATATTCTCCCCATCTGTCGTCTTATCTCCTTCGTTTTTTTTTAAGTTGTTGTGGATATGAAAGTTTTGTCAAGATCAGAAAAAAAATCATGTATTTACCCATTATTGATGTTCCCAAAAGTTTCTGTGATTTTACTGTGAGTGAGTATCTTTTTTTTCTTTCTCAAGATAAAAAGATTATCAAAAGATCTGCGGTGGGGTTGAATCGATACGATCTCACAGCTGGATGGGAGAGTGTTTGAGGGGAGAAATACAGAAATAAACTCTTCATCTGCAAGCGGTTTGCAGGGACCCGGCTGCTTGATTTAGCCCAGATACAAATACACTATCACTGCAGTTTTTTTAAAGAGAAAAGTTTTCAAAGTTGTTTTTTAATTTGAGGAACTTCATAGTTTTGTAAGATGGAGCCCAGCAGCAGCTTCTACTGCCTCACAGCTTTTAGTTTCATTAAAAATGTGGAAGTAAAACACAGTTCAAACACCTGTACTGCTGCTGGATTTGAAACTCATCAGTGTAGCAGCTTTGCAGATTTCAGTGAGTCTGTAGTCTTTAATAAGATTAGAAATAAGTATCAAAGTTCAAGTATCTCAAGTAGAAGTACTTCTTATACAGAATCCTAAACCTTATTACAATTGCTGATTCATTAGTATTGCAGCCAGATATTACTTTATTGACTTATATACTACTGGGTAGCTTTAACCATAATAATAAAGTAATATTTACTAGATTTATGTTTTCAAATCTCCAAAAATAATAAAATATATGCAATGCAAAGTGCAATAATATGAGGAAGAAGAAAGAGAGGGACAGCTCAGGTTTGGAGATAGTTAGAGAAACAAGGCTGTGATGATCTGAATGCAGAGGAGGGTCCCCTTTAGTTTTGAGCTCTGATTACAAGACCTGAAGGACCTGCTGGGGAGATATGACCATAAAAGTTCACTGATGTAAGCTGGTGCTTGTTCAAGAAGAGCTCTAAAAGTCAGAACCAGATCTTTTACACGGACTCTGAATTCAGTGTGGAGCCGGTGCTGCTGGATCAGCATCAGTGTGACATGAGAGGGTTTGGAGGACTCAGTCAGAAGCCTCGCAGCAGCGTTCTGAACACGCTGCACATATTCAAGGGAGCTTTGCTCAGATAAGTGAACAATGAATTACAAACATGATGACTCTAAGCACCTATTCATGATCTGCAGCTTAGAAACAAGAATAAAGCAGCTTAAAAAAAGTACAAGTACAATTTAACTGTACTTTTGGAGTACTTGTTTAAGAGGCACCATTGC